CTATTTATCTTTCATGGTATTGTAGTTCATTTGAAATGAACCATATTCAAGAGGCAGTGAATTTATGATAAACTGGAGGAAATTCTCATCGACACTCATCCCAAGGACTTAAGTCTTGTCGCAATGTTTGACATTTCAATAATATGCTCATGCAAGCCATGAGAACCATCAAACTTCATGGTGGTTAAAGTGGCCATTAATGTCCCAAAAAGAGACTTATTAGCAATTTGAGAACGCTTTTCCACAAATTTAATAAATTCTTTAGCATTATCAGTTTTGGGAAGAGTAGACTTGATATTTTTTGCTACACTCATTCGCATAAACATTAAGCTCAGTTTGTTTGGCCTTACCCAAGCATCATGGTAGGTCATTTCTTCTTCGTTGCTAGCATCAGTAATAACAGCTGGTCTCTCTGATTGAAGTGACAAATCAAGATCCAAAACATCTAAAGTGGAACTAGATTTGCTCACACCAATTAGAGAAATTAAGCCCATTAAACATAGGTACAGATGAGGCTTGCGAATGAAGAGAAACAGGAATAGGTACTGCAAAGTATAATGCTCATATATTAATGCTTTGAGTTATAAAATTAAACACATAGAACAAATTCAAACACATAATTTGAGTTTACTAAGTCTCATTAAATATTCTCGCACCTTTATACCATACCTCGCAAGTATTGTCCTATTGAAAAGGTTGGGTTCCACTCTATCTTGAGTTTTTAAACCCAATAGGCCTTATCGAAATCTTGACTTGAAGTTTTTTAATATGATTCTTTGATTTAATCCATTTTGATTTTATTGGACTTCCTTGACAAAAAGGGGCATCAATAAGTCTACACAAGTTTTTTTATACACAACATCTTTTGTATAATGTAAACAACTTTTCAACTCATAAGTCTTCTAACGCACAACTTTAATCACTTCTTCTATACAAGTTTTCTTGACTCATTATGCTTAAATAATCACTTGTGTATAAGTTCATGTAGACAATAAAAATCTACAGTTACGGAATGGACGGATCTTGTGAGATTGAGGCCAGTAATGATCTGTTGGACCTACACACAGAAAGAAGCAAGCGCAAAGCTCACGGGGACATTGGTGTGGTGTCTGTCGTAGGCACTCCGACGCTCAAGTTAGCGCGGCTTAGGAGACTATTTAGTGAGGGCTAAGGGAGGAAAGTTTACCGGAATCTTGTCAGAGACTAGAACTACGACAAAGGTGACGATGGTTCTTGAGAGCAAGAACTTTTAGGAGCAAGTAGGTGGTATTGAGATTGAATGAATAATGGTAGGTCAGACCTCTGTTTATATAGTGAGCCTAGGAGCTTGAATCCTAGTAGAACTTTAAGTTCATAATGATGGAGTTTGAGTAAATAGGAAAGTCTTGATTTACTTGCCTTTGTAGGAGTAAGATTCTGGATCTTGGATGAATTAGAATGTAGATGAAATCCTAATGATGGAATCTATAGATGAATTAGGATATGAGTGGAACTGGGTGTTCATTAGAGCAACCATGGGTCGATGAGCCAGAGCCCAAATGGGTTTATGACGAGACCCAACTTCGAGGTATGACCTTATTAGTAGTTGAATGATCTATTTCGTGAGTAGCTCGATTTGTGTAATGGGCTGACTCATAGCGTGGATCTTAGTGTAAGTCCAACCAAAATTAGGTCTTGGCACAAGGTCATACAATAGATGTTTCATGTTTGAGCTTGATAAGGTCCGTTATGAATTTTGGCCAATACAATCCGTATGACCTATAATACTCTAATAACAATGACTATGTTATCCTTATTCTATTTAAATTGATAAAAAATTCCTAGCATTTGACAACCAAGGGTTTATTGCTATTAGATATACTTCTCGGGATTTTTTTACATTAGGGATAACTTAGGTTCACCTAATATTCAATAATCCTCTTCTTTTTGTTTTTATTTGCAAAGACCATATTGCAATTTCCAGGAACTTTCCTTGTCAATATCAAGGCCAAGTTCAATAAAAAAACTCAAATATCCCTTACATATGCAAATACANATCTGATGGTTGTGTCATAATTCACTTCTCAACAACTTTATAATGTGGTCAATTGCTTGTTCATCAAGACGTATAGTATGTCTCCTCATTGGCTTAGAGACTGGTGAAGATTGATTGACGGCTGTTTCTGTGTCACAGAATTGACTTTTCCTGGCCTTACTACCATTTTAGCTAAATATGTGTATGGGCATACTCAGGGTTCTAATAGTCCAGAATCGATAAGGTTTCTTAGAGGCTACTATTCATTGTCTTGCCTTTCATCTGGTCTTATCACTTTTACTTCATAATTTCATTCTATCTGTGTTGATATATATTATTTTCTTGGATAACAATGTTCTTGTGTTATTTTAGTTATTATGAAATTAAAGAATGGTGGTTATTTTGATGGTTATTTGGACATTTGGTGGTTATTTTGATGTTCTCTGTTCAATTGATGGTTATTTTGATTGGATAAATTGCAAATTTTGCCTTGTTTTGTGGTTATTTTGATGTTTTCTGTTGAATAATTGATGGTTATTTTTATGGGATCAATCACAAATTTTGCCTTGACTGCTGGTTACTTTGATGTTCTCTATTCAGTTGACAGAATATTAAAGAATGATATATTTTTTTTGTATAGGGTATTATTCTAGCGATGATTTCAAGTGTAGAGTTAATGTTAGAAAGATGGAGATATCATGAAGGCAAGAAGATTGAAGTATTCTAGGAATTTACGATTTTGGCAGCATAAATTATTTTCAGGACAACTTTTGGAAGCAACAAGATAGAATGGGAAATATATGAAATTTTTGTAATTTGTGGCTATTTGGTTTTACACTTTGCTTCTCTTTTAATTCTATAGTACTATTTTTTTGTCTTTGCACAAAGTTTGTGGAAACCTACTTTCTTGGTATTGAATTCCCTATGCTTAGTGGTTTTCAATTGACAATTTTTTTTTTTTTATATAAATTCGTTAGTAATACTAGTACTTTGTTTTATTTAGGTTTAAATTGACAAAATTGAAGTATAAATGTCAATGTAGGGTTGCAGCAACTATAAGGATAAAATGGTAATTTTACAGGTTTTAATATTTTAAAAATCCAACGGTAACTTCATACATTTGAAACGTTATTTTTAATAAAAAAAGGATAAATTGGTAACTGAATTTTCATAAAAGTTGAGGGCATACTAGTGATTTCATTTTTAAAGAGTGGGTATTTTGGTAATTGATTTGTTGATATTAAAAAAATAATAAAAAATAATAAAGTCAAATATATAAGGGTATTTTTGTCTTTTCAGTCAAATATTAACAGAAAACACTAACAGGACCTAACGGAGGGTGGGAAAATGTCGTTTTGAAACTTAATGGGTGGGAAAGTGTTGTTTTGCCTAACCTTGGGGGTGAAAAAGTCATTCTCCCTTTGAGTAAATAGGAAAGTCTTGATTTACTTGCCTTTGTAGGAGTAAGAGTCCTAATTCATGTAAGATTCCGGATCTTGGATGAATTAGAATGTAGATGAAACCCTTAGATGTATTAGGATGAAGATTGAATCTATAGATGAATTAGGATATGAGTAGAACTGGGTGTTCTTTAGAGCAACCATGGGTCGATGAGCCAGAGCCCAAATGGGTTTATGACGAGACCCAACTTCAAGGTATGATCTTACTAGTAGTTGAATGATCTATTTCGTGAGTAGCTCGATTTGTGTAATGGGCTGACTCATAGCGTGGATCTTAGCGTAAGTCCAACCAAAATTAGGTCTTGGCACAAGGTCATACAATAGATGTTTCGTGTTTGAACTTGATAAGGCCCGTTACGAATTTTGGCCAATACAATCCGTATGACCTATAACACTCTAATAACAATGACTATGTTATCCTTATTCTATTTAAATTGATAAAAACTTCCTAGCATTTGACAACCAAGGGTTTATTGCTATTAGATATACTTCACGGGATTTTTTTACATTAGGGATAACTTAGGTTCACCTAATATTCAATAATCCTCTTCTTTTTGTTTTTATTTGCAAAGACCATATTGCAATTTCCAGGAACTTTCCTTGTCAATATCAAGGCCAAGTTCAATAAAAAAACTCAAATATCCCTTACATATGCAAATACACCCGTTTCTGCTATTTCTTTTTTCCCAAATCATATTGAGACTGCAATTTATCCATTGAAAAACATTATATTTCGCGCAATAATTTAGTGAAAATTTTATTTAAAAAATAATATAGTACTAATATATATATATATAAGAACAAAATAAATACTTGAAGATTATAATGTACTAAAATATTTTAAAAAATTGTTCCATCTCCTTGATTAATAACTTTATTCTATTATGCATTAATAAATTGCTTTGAATTAATACTTAAAACATCACGAAAAAAAAAAACATAACATTTTTTTTAAGATTTAGCTAAGATACTACAAACTTCTCCTGCATGTCTTAAAATCGAAAGTTCAATAAAATTTCTTATGAATATAAAATGAAATTCCTTAAAAAGTTCCTTTGTAGAAAACAAATTAATGAGATTTGTAAAGTATATTTTCTACTAATGAACTCTTAAAAAAAAAAAAAAACCTTACTTTCATTATTATTTATCTACTTATTTTAGAAATGTAACACATCATGATCATTTCTTTATTGGATTTTAAGTTTAAGGGTTGAGATTTTTTTTTTTTAAATTAAATTAAAAAAAAAAAAAAAGATAAGATCACATGAGTTTTCAAAAAATTTATTCCTTTAATTTGGCCCCTTGGCTTTGTACTGACATAAATTAATACAAATTAATGTTTCATTTTTGTCCCGTACTCGATTCTCTCTTTAACCGTCCACAACTCGCCTACCATATTCGAAAACACGTGTACGCCCAAGATTCGACAAGCACGGGACAACGGTACTCGAAGCAGTAGCCAATCGCATCTCGCCAATCAATGATCTGTTTTGTTTCACGGCTCTTCATGGGCTCTGCTCTTTCGCCAGTGCACAACGACACTAGAGAGAAATATTCAGGTACGCGATGGATCACCGAATCTTTCTCTAGAAATCTCTACTTTAATTTCATAATTTTGTTTACGGGATCTGAAAATTATCATTTCGACATTTTTTCTCATTCGATTTTGAAGCGAAATTGGTAAGTATTCGGAAGTTATTTCGTTAAATTTCTCGATTTTAAGTGTTCTATTTCATTTCTTATTTAAAAAAAAAAATTGAGTGGTTTTTAATTTTGCTAGAAACTTCAAATTTTTGCGGAATTTTTACTATAATTGAAGTAGATTTGAGCGGTTTGATCTGTTCGAACTGATTTTTGAGGACTTTGTTATGTAGATTCTCGCTCTGTTACTAAGATTTTGTGTGAATGTGGAGGAAATTTTGAGTTAGATTTATTGAATTTGATTTGTTTTATGTGGATTTCTATTGTAGGTCTCTAAATTGGTGGTGAAATTTTGTTAGGTTTTCGGATCAATGGAGCCTGCTGAACTAACCACAGAACAGGTTGGTGATCCCTTTTGGTTTATTTGAATGTTTTTGTGATGGATTTGTGTTTGAATTTAATGTATAACTGAGTTCTTGTTGTGGATCGTGACATTTTGTTGTGTTGTCTAAAGATATTTTACTGGAAATGCGTGAAACAAGAAGATAAGTGTCAAGAAATCGGCCAACTGATTAGCTGAATATGATACATTAAAGCGTGTAATTAATTGTAGGTTGGGTCTGTTATAAAATGAAAAAATAAAAATAAAAATAAAAAAGTTTTAGGTGTAGTGTATTGGGGGGAAAGACATTGGAAACAATTAATATTTTGTATATTTTTTAATGGGGATCAGCTTATGAATACATGGTAATGTAGTGTTAACTTCATGATAGCTAATACAGCCAGATACCATTAGATATTGTGTGGAAAGTTAACTTGATCTTTGGTTCTTGTAGAGGTTTTATCCTGTTTAATTGTTCTTCTGATGGTTTCTTCTTTTACAGGAAGTGAATTTAATCTGTATTTCGATTAACACGTTATTTTGTTTTAAAGGTTCTAAGGAGGGATATCCCTTGGGAGACATACATGACAACTAAGCTGATATCAGGAACGGGTCTTCAGCTGTTAAGACGATATGATAAAAAATCTGAAAGTTACAGGGCACAGTTGCTGGATGATGTAATGTTTTATAGCTCTTTTTAATTTTTGGTGTCTAATTGTAATTTCAGGGGAAGATTTATCTGAATCATAGTATAAAATGATATTTTAAATTATCAGTGGTGTTACTGACGAGTCAATTGACTGTCTCAGGATGGTCTATCATATGTTCGGGTGTTTGTTAGCATTTTGCGAGATATATTTAAGGAGGAAACAGTAGAGTATGTTCTGGCTTTGATTGATGAAATGCTTACAGGTAACTGGAATAATGTTGGTCTTTTGGTCGCTTAAACATTGTAACAGATTAACATCTTGTTTATTTTAACTTTGGCAGCAAATCCAAAGAGAGCCAGATTATTCCATGATAACTCTCTTGCAGATGAAGATACTTATGAACCTTTCTTAAGTTGAGTATCTATGCAAAAATGTTTGTGATGTTGAATTGTAATTGATTTTCTGCTATCTTTTCTTATTTACCCTAATATGTTTTGCTTATACTCTTTCCTAGATTTTAAAATTCTCTATTGTCTGCATTCCTTTTAGAGATATCATGTTACATAACACACACCTAAATATGCATGTGCTCATTTTTTTTAAGGAGTTCTTGTTTATCAATATTTTATGACTTGTAGTTATCCATTTTCTATTCTTTGTTTCTCTTTCTGAAAATTGGAGAAGTATACTAATTTGTTTATATGAAATTTTTTTTTTTTGCAAACAATCTATGGCTAGCTTTCTTATGCTATTAAAAATGATGAAAAACTAAAACAATCTGCAATTTGGTTTATTTTCAGATTGCTCTGGAAAGGCAACTGGTTCATACAAGAAAAGAGCTGCAAAATATTGGCTTTGATTGTAAGGTAGTTGAAACATGATCCATCTACCCAAAGACTGCAAAATTTTAAGAAATCAACCAAATGGAGTGCTACATTCAGTTATTAACTGTGCAACCTTTTATGTAATCATAGTGCTAGGCCAAAATCACAAGATGGTCCAGTCTCAAATGGAGAAGCCTCAAATTCAAAGAGAAAATCAACAACCATTGATGATGTTTTAAAAGGATTGGTTGAATGGCTTTGTGCACAGGTTAGTATGTAGCTTTTGGTTATATGTTTCTTTCCATGCAGCTGGTGGCTGGTGCCTAAGTCATTTCTCATGACAAAAATTTGACACCAAAGCGCTTGTTGAATGCTTAAGCACTTCAGTGGTCTTCTCCATGATTTAGATAAGAGGAAATATAAGGAAAAGTACACTTAAAACGAACAATATACGGCCTATTTGAAGCCTTAAATATTCATTTATGATTAGCAATATTTTCAGTTTCTGTAAGAAAATAAACCGGTGTTTTTCTTTTTCTCCTTAACAATAGTATTTAGGGGTATTTTTGTAGCTTTTAGGTTTGGGATGGATTAAATGGTAGCCCTTGAGTCCTTAAGATTCAGAAGCAGGAATTTTACATCTTGATGTAGTGCTCTAAATTTGAATTAATACTAAGTTACAGAATTTTGGCTGCTTTTAAGCTCATTTAGGGTTGGTTGCGTGATGCTTCCATGATCCTGTATCTGATGTTTACAACAAATTCCTTATCTTTCTTATTTTCTTTGTAATTTTCTTCAATCTGTATAACTATAACGTGCCATAGTTCATTTAATTTTATCATGATACATCCCAAATTCAACAACTCTATCTTCCATGTAAGATCCTTGTTTTCCCTATTTAGTTGAGAGATTCTGTGATTTTAGCTCTATCATCGTATGTCAAGGCTCCTTACTCCCTTGAATGTTCACCAAGTCTTTAGTGAAAACATTGGACTTTTTTGTTAAATTGGAATAATGACAACGTTTCACTGCGATATATGAGTCCAGACTTGGTCTGCAATGTTTTTTCAAGTTCTTCATTGTGTTGAACTTTTCTCTAACTGATCCTCCTTTGTCCATTTTTTTAAGTGCTGTTTCAATATTTGTTAGTAGATGTTATAGACATACTCCTGATGCCCAATGTCATATGTAGTTGAAGAATCCTTCCCATCCTGGTCGTGGCATTCCGGTTGCTGTCAATTGCCTTGCAGCATTATTGAAGGAACCTCTGGTGAGATCTTCTTTTGTTCAAGCTGATGGGGTGAAGTTGTTGACTCCATTAATTTCTCCTGCATCAACCCAGCAATCTATCCAGGTAAATTTTTCAAATTCTGGGTTGTGTAATTACTGATTTTTGAAGACTGGAGTTGGTCCATTCCCAATGCTGGCTGTAGCAGGCTCAATGGCATTTGGGAAACTCCCCATTATTATCCTGAAACTTCTTAGTCCTGGAACTGATAAATGAAGTTGCTCGTGCTTCAATTTTATTGAGTAGACATTATTTGAACCAAAAAGTTTCTCTAACTGACAGCTTATTCTCTGTTACAGCTTCTTTATGAAACATGTCTCTGTGTTTGGCTGTTATCTTTCTATGAGCCTGCAATTGAGTACTTGGCAACTACAAGAACTCTGCCACGACTAATTGAGGTTGTTAAGAGTTCCACAAAAGAGAAGGTTAGGCTTTGTTTTTGTCTAATTCATATTCATTTTGACTTCATTTAGTGTATACTTGCTTCACTTTAATGAGTTATGCATGATCTGATAGTTATGAAGATGGGAATTCTTATTTTACCAGGTTGTCAGGGTGGTTGTCTTGACCCTTAGGAACTTGCTCCCCAAAGGTACTTTTGCTGCCCATATGATAGACCTTGGGCTACCTCAAATTGTACAAAGTTTAAAAGCACAAGCCTGGAGTGATGAGGTAAGAGAAGTTACTGCCTACATACTACCATTTACTATTGTGGCTGATTGTTCATTTACTTACTTAGTCAATACATCAAGATGAAGGGAGATCATGAAGCTGTCTACTAGTGATCAGTAAATTGCTATAATGACTAGATATTACTTTGTTTTATTTTTTAATTTATTATTATTATTATTTTTTTTTTTTTTGGACTTATTTTTTTACTGTTGATGTAGTAGAAATATTGTTTTTGCTTTCTTCCAGACAATACTGTTGACATTGTTGTTTTGTTTATTATTTATGTTTAAGAGTTTACTTTATAGTTTATAGCTTGTAGAAGGTATGCTCACTGGACTTGTCATACCCTAACCCTGGTGTCAACTATACAGTTTCAGTTTCAAATTTGTATTATTAAGCTTTATTACCATCTTCTTTCTGTGGCTTAATATGTTTTCCTCCCCATATCAATTAGCATTCCTCTTGGTTTTCCCCTGTTTTTTGTTGCACAGCTTAACTCAAATCTCTCCTTCTTCCTGTTTAAGGTTTACTTTGACAACTTTTCATTTGTCATTTCTATATATACTATCTTTGACAATTTAAGACTTTTATTATACCTGTTTTATCCTACTTTTATTAATTTCTGTCTGCCTTCTATAATTCTTACGTTTCATTTGTCAGAGCAACCTCAATCACTTGTGTTCTTTAAGCTACAGCATTTTTCTTTGGGTCCTAAATATTCCAACTTATTAAGCCTTGCTCCTTTTATCATTTGTTTTCTTTTATATTTATCCTCATCATTACTGCTTGTTGGAAGTCTGATCACTCTCCCACATCTCTTTCTCAGTGTGTTATATATGAACTGCGTCTCTGGCAATATCCTCCGTACTAATCACATTTTGTTATCCAGTGCAAAATTTAGATACCAATCATTCATCTTACTCGAAACTTTATATTGAGCATGAATGTAATTACACTAGTCTTGTGATTCAGCTGAGTCTCAACTTCAGTTGCTGAATTTTTTTTACCCTTTTCAGTCACCATATATTCCCCTTGCTGCTGTTTTTCTAAACACATTTGGATCTTTTATAGGATTTATTGGAGGCACTGAACCAACTGGAGGAAGGTTTGAAGGATAACATTAAGAGGTTGAGTTCTTTTGATAAGTACAAGCAAGAAGTTCTCCTCGGTCATCTTGATTGGTCTCCCATGCACAAAGATCCTTTATTCTGGCGTGATAACATTAATAACTTTGAAGAGAATGATTTCCAGGTAATTTTTCAGTCCTTACGGACAGTTTCTTCCACCCTAAACTCCCCGCTTTTTTTATTTGTCTGATAGTTTTTGATCATTTTGTTTGAGAAAATTACTAGACTTCTGTAATACTTATACATTATCTTCTGTCTCAGATTCTAAGGGTCCTCATAACGATTTTGGATACATCCAGTGATTCAAGAGCTCTCGCTGTTGCTTGCTTTGATCTCTCACAGTTCATCCAGCACCATCCAGCTGGGCGGATCATAGTAACAGACCTCAAGGCCAAGGAACGGGTGATGAAATTGATGAACCATGAGAACGCAGAGGTTACCAAAAACTCTCTACTCTGCATTCAAAGGCTTTTCCTAGGCGCCAAATATGCAAGCTTTTTGCAGGTTTAGTTCAATCTCCATGGATTAAGATGGTTTGTGGTTTGTATCATCTATCATGGAAATAGTTGCAAGGAATTGCTTCGAATATCGGCTCTTTAGGTGTTCATTGTTCATCTATTATTGTCGAGTAATGAATGTATCAGGGCTCTTATTTCCTGAGAAAGTTCAGCCATGAAAATGCTGTGAAGAATTAATTTATTTATTGTATTGTGGAAATTTATTTTTGGACTTTGAGCTGCTGAATAAAATTTGTGTCTGTATTTTTTGGGGTTGTAATTATGTGAGATTTTCAGCTGATAAATAACGCTTTACCTTTCCAATAATGTTTTAGTTTTCATGCATATATGTTACCCTTTTCTATTGTTCAATTATTTTTTTTTAAACCAAGGTGTCAAGGCTAGTTTACACGTACGGGTAACTCAACTAGTCAGGTGAGTTTTTTCTATTGTTCATGCTATTATAGTTTTTCAACTTTGTTTTGTTTGCTGACCTCATTTTATTATTTCATTACTTTTGGGTTGTAGTTACATGAGATTTTCAGCCTATTATTAGAAAGAAAAAAAATCTGATTTTTCTGGTAAGATAGTTCAAGGATGTTGAAGAAATCAGGTATTTGATATATATATTATATATTACAAGATAAAATATAGCCCCTTTCAATAGATTTGATTTATCATAAATGTTTCTTCCAATGGTATACCAGATGGATTATATTGATTGCATTGATAATCGTATAATATTTCACTTCTTAGTATGTAGGTACCATATAATGTTGTATAGGGATGTCAGTTTTCCAGGCCCGGCCGGATTTGACCGGGTCTAGACCCAGCCCGGATAGATGAGCAGCAAACTTGGATTCGGGTGAATACCCGGGATTTGAAATCCTGGGCCAGGGGGCAGGCTGGTTTTACCCGGATCCGCGTCTGAAGATGTCTTTTTCCAACAATGCGCAAACAATTATTAAATATATTTTAATTTAGATTCAATACTTCATTAAACAACACAAGTAAAGAAAAATTTGTTAAGCAAAACAAAAATCTATTAAGATAACATAATTCAGGCAAAATTCAAAACTTTGAGAATTTCGTAATCTTACACAAACACAAGGAAATCATTTCTCATAGGATTAAACACAAGCAAAACAGTTTTCGTAGGATTGGTCTTACTCATACACATAAAGTAAGTTAAAATTGAAACTCATACATTATCTACAAAACTAAAGCTTTTTGATAAGCTTAAACTGACTGAAGGCTTATACTCAGTGGGTAGAAAAAGCTACATTTCAATTTCGGTGATGCAATAGCCAACCACAACTACCTTTCTTGTGATTGATGTGATGCAGCATAGTAATGTGCTTGACAGTTTGAGAAGAAACATCAACTACCTTGGTGGGTGTTGGTTGCGATGGAGGTGAGGTGATGGTTGTCTATTGGTCTTTTTGAATCTGTTCATTCCTGTGAAGAAACAAATTTTAGGGTTTTTTTTTTTTTTTTTCAATTGAAAATTTATATATAATAGAATCTTTCATTAATGATATTCTATATAAAAATAACTTTCATGTATTCAAGTTACGTTACATTGGTATAGGGTTTGAAATTTTATTTAATTACTATAGACTCCAGAAATTCTGGTTAGTTTATTAAGAACACTTTTTTTTCTATAGAGACTTTATAATTTTTAGGGCGAACAACAACTTCTCACCCAAGGTTTGGCCTAACGACAAGTTCCCACCCAAAAAGTTTTAAAACGGCAGTTTCCCAGCCACCGTTAATATCTGTTAGTGAAATATGTTAATTGACATTGATAGTCACTATACTGGCGAAAATACCCTTTACTCTTTGAATCCAAATCCTCGATCTCATTCGGTGAGAACCACATCCGGTTGGGTGCGATTCTAGCCTCCACCAACTCCAAACCCGCCAACAAAACCACCACATACAACCATCACAAGCACCACAAATTACAAATACTTTCAACCCAAATCAGTAATATATTAAACAATTTAATCACACAACACAAAGTACATATTATCGATCAATCATCAGAAAGTCAAAAACTGAAAGGAAAAAAATTCAAATTCTTCATGTGATGTTCTCTAGGTTTGCGCAAGGGTGAATGGGTGGAAAATGAGGAGTTGGAGAAAGGGGTGGAGGAGGAAATGGTGGCAGGTTTGGTAGAGGTGTAGGTGCAAGTGAATCGAGACGAGAGGAGGATGGGGAGATGAAGAAGATGAAGATAGGAGTAGTTTAGGGTTTTTTTGCTTATATATAGGGGGCAAAATGACATAACTACTTTTTGACTATTTTTGAATTTAGGGGTGGAAACTATCATTTTGAAATTTTTCGGATGGGAACTTGTCATTAGGCCAAACCTTAAGGGGAACTTGTCGTTCGCTCATAATTTTTGTCTAAACTAATTATCCGTACAATTGTTGAAAGTAATTAATGAAAAGCTTAGAAAACATTAAGATTATATATATATATGACTTACTTGATCATTTGGACTAAGGTGTTTGTATAGGCAAACTGATTTGACACCTCGGTAAAAAAAAAAAAAAGTCTACACATATAAACTCTATTTATTCCCCGTATTAGAGCTAGGGGTGTTTGGTTCCGGGTACCTTGCATTTTTTGAAGGAACCAGAACCAGAACCGACGGTTCCTTGAAATTTGGAACCAGAACCGGAACCGACGGTTCCGGTTCCTAGGTACCCAGAACCAGAACCTGTAACAACGATTCTGGTTCTGGTTATGGGTACCCTGTAAAATTACTATGACCCCCCAAAAGTTTTTAAAATGACAAAAAAACCCTTAAAAACTTATAATACCCCCCCACCGAACACTTGTTAACAAAAATAAAATTACAAATTATAAATTCAAAATTACAAACTCCATTACTTTGTAAAGGTAGATTCTCAAAAATCAAACCAACTTAGTTTAAATGTTATGAAATATAAATATAAATGTATCCACATTACTTTTTCTACAAAAGTTTTTATTTACCCCCCTAATCTTTAATTTTATTTTATATTAGTCTCGGTTCCTGGTTCCGATTCCTAACTATAGGAACTAAAATCGAAACATACCCATTGACGGTTGGTTCTAGGTAGAAACTGGAACCTCGGGTACTCGCCGATTCCGGTTCTAACAGGTTCTTTTGAACACCCTTAATTTGAGCATCTCTAAATGACTCTTTATATGACTTAAACTTTTTATTATAAATAGTCCATCCATAAAAATAAGAGTCCAATAGACTCTTTATCTTTAAAATATAAATTAAAAAATCAGTTTGGCTCTCTATGTCTAAAGAGTCAAATTTTACTCTCTATCCTAATTTTAATTAATAAACTATAATTTTTTATAAATTTTATTTATTATTTTTCTCTTTTATTAAGTCTCTTTTTTTAAAATAAAAAATATTTTTATTAAATTAAATAGTCTATTAGATTTGAATAAAAATTATGTTGTTTATATTTAAAAAAAGTGTGAAAATACTATTTATTTATAAGAGTGATACTCTCCCAGATAAAGAGCACAGTTGAAATGCTCTTAGACCTGTCTTACAGAGAGCAATGGAGAATGGGAAAGTGAAAGAGAAAGAGAACGAGCAAGAGACTGAGAAATTATGCAAGAGGTGTTATCAAACTTACACTTCTCAATCCAACACCTCTTCTTCTTGCCGCTTCCATCCTTCCTTTTTTGTCTGCCGTCGTCACGACGACCAAAAAAGGTCACTCCCCCTGTCTCTTTCTCTCTTTATATTGTTCTTTCATCAGTCTTTTGAATACCCTTTTGTTCTATTTGAATGTTTTTACCGAGATAGATTGAAGATTATTACATTCTGATTCTTCTGAATGTATTGTTCAGCGAATCGAATGGTGTGTTTATGACTGCACTTTTGAATACCCTTTTGTTCTATTAGGTTCTCTTTTTTGTACCTTTTCGCGGTCAAGTTATCTACCTTCATTGCAAATACGCTGTGATGATTGATAAATAGAAATAGTATTTAATCTATCATTTTGTCCTACAAATTGTCGTGCTCAGTTTATAATTTGTTTGATTGCGGAGGAATATGAGAAATTTAAATTTAAATTTAAAATGTTTTGACTGCTGCAATCACTAAATTCATTATAATGATGGTGCCACCTGGTCTTCATTAGAGATTAGGGGATTTATGGGTGGTGGCCAGTGCTACTGGAAATTGTAGTGATGTTAATATCTTTACGTTTGTAGCTCTATGGCTGGCTTAGATGACTCGATAGTTGTTAGAGTGTGACCATCAGTACCTTTTCTCTACTAATCGTGGATATTGTGCTACATTATCTGACTTGAGCATCACTGCTATGGATGACATTCTTGACTCCGCACAGGCATATGTAGATATTAACGTGTAATCAGCTTCTGGTTTGTGCTTAAATGCAAATATCAATCTATGGCATGAGTTTAGTGAATTTGGTAGAGACAAGTAACATGTGATGTCCAAGTTTGATTTGTCCTCTTGTTTGCAAGAACCTATGCTGACCTTCGCTCAACTGGTATTTTGGTGATGGTAAATTACATTACTCATTGAAAAAATAGAAAATGGCCTTATTGAATCCCCCTTTTAGCAATTTATAGCTCTATGGACTCTTAAAGGTACTAAAAACTCTCTAGAAACTCATTTACACAAAACACAATTTCTCCTCCTCCTAAAACTGTGCTTTAACACCATAGCTGGATTCAATAGGATCATGTAATAATGTTGTCAGACTGTCTATCACATGTAGGAATTATAAAGAGGCTAAAAGAGCATTTCTCTTAATGGCCAATTTGATAATGGAAGTTTTGGTAATTTTTGTTAAGGAAATTGATGTTAGTTGTTATCATAAGATTGTTTAGGCCTATTTATGGACCACCGAGAGTCTTGAACATTAGTCAGATGGTTACCACTATTTTCATGAACCACCATAACCTCCTTGGTGTCTTGCCATTGAGATATAACCCTTAAATGGTTTCTTTGGGTGTAAAAATTTTATGATGCACCCCATTACATCATACCTCTTACATGTGAATCATGCTATCATGGAACCACTTATACCATTAGGGTTTCCTTTTGAGCGATTTTGGTGTTTCCCCTAGTAGATGATTGAAGTGGAAAGTCTTAGGGTTCAAGCTGTAGGAGGATGCATGGCCTGCTACGTCAAGTACACAGAAAGAGCTGTGGAACCAACTGAATCTCTTACAATATTATCAAAGTTCAGTCACCACTTTGGATAGCATTGGCCTGCTGTAAGTATGGCATTATTTTTTTGAGTGTGGCAGAGGTGATGATGAGGACATTGATGGGTTGGTTAATTGTGGCAGCATGGCTGTAGTAATTTTGGTGGCAGCTTCAAACATTATCCAATCTTCATAAGCAGTGAATATTGGGTATCTGGTATAGGTGATAATCTTTATGATTGTTTAGTGGCTTCTGTTCAATGGCTGTTTTCTGTTGTTGCTACGATATATTTCTTGGGTGTCAGTAAATGAAGAGGTGTTGATAGTGGTTTTATTGTTGCTTACGAACATCGTTTGCACTTAGTATAAAGTGATTGAAGTGTGGAAGCACCATTGGCAGTCATTCTTTTGGTCATGGCTTGGGGCTGTGATGATGTTAATGGTATGGGGAAATACCATACTCTTTTATTAAATTAAAGAGGAAGGCTGTTCTGTGAGAAAGTAAGCATTGTTATGATTTTTCATATACGGTTCATATATATATATATATATATATATTTTTTTTTTTTTTCCTTTGTGATGTTTTTTCTATTAATTTCTTGTACTTAAGTTACAAGTCCTATTTCTTGGCATAATCCTCAAATTGTACTTGATGTTTTTCTGCCTCAGTTAAATTATATCTTCCTTTTTTTTTTTTATCACTATGATTATTAGAGCACACAGTTTTAAGATATCTTGTTCCTTTTTTTCCTTCTTTAGGTTGATTTTTTTGGGGGTGGGGGATTTCTTGGCAGAATACTTAAATTTTACTTGATCATTTTCTGCCTCGATTAAACTTTTTTTTTTTTGGGTGGTGGGGGGTGCACTCTCTGAAAAGTTACAATCAGACATATAATGATACATTTAGTTTAGTTCACAGTATACATCTACCAAATTCTCAGTTTGTTCCCTAGTTCTTTGACATTTATATGTATGGAAAATTTTTAATTTGCTTGGTCCCACAACCTGCAACAGAACCTTGATGAAATCCAGATCTGATAAAAGCAGGCCCAACAGCCAACTGGGAAGCAATAACAGAATTGGCAATGTCTCTTTCTCATATTCTGAATGATGAGAATTTGGTGAAATGAAAGAAATTTATAACTAGCTGATGTTCTACAATTAAAACTGAGCCGGCTTTTGGTATTTTGCTAGAAAACTTTGGGCCATGTTCTTTTCTCTTTCTGGAATCTCTTGTGTTATCACTAGAAGTGTGGTGGAATTTTTAGGACATTAAAGAGTCTCTATAGGATTGTTTTCGACTCTTTGGTTGGGAAAAAAAAAAAAAAAACAGAATGCTTTTGAATGAATGGGGCTACAAGGTTGGATCTGTTAAGCTTGTTTTCTTGCTTTGTAGTTTCCATTTAATTTATCTTTCGTGTTCTCTTGATTTTTCTATGTGTAGTTTTTTTTTTTTTCCCATTAATTTTCTTAATTTGGTTCCTTCTATTGCATATGCTTTCTGTATGTAGGATTGCGCCCTTTCTGGCTATTAGTAGTGCATAAATTTTTTTTATTTTTTCAATTGTTGGACTCCCTTTGAGGTTGTATGATAATTTGACCGACACTGTTTTCTATGCAAAGCCAAATATCTGAATTCCCCTAGGTGGAGATGAATCTAGAAAAGAGTAAACATTAATTAAATATGATATATACTAACCAGATAATTAGTGAAAACTTTTCGAAGACATGGTAGGAACTGACAGCTAACTTGTGAATGTTTAGATAATGAAGTTTTCAGGTTATATACCCTTGTGTATGTTTTTGATATGAATCTTTAGACTAACATTTGGGAATTTCATTTGCAACTAGGAGATGTCATTATTTCAATATGAGCGACGATATTTTTCTTGTAAGTTCATTTAGATACCACATGAAGTATGGACACAGACTTGTTAACTGATAGTATCTCCATTTGATTGATTGATTGATTGAAGGTACTATGAATTGGGACCTGATGATCCGCCGTATGCTGCCAAGTTCTATGATTGCTGCGGGGCCGAGGATCCAGCGGCATCTGGGTGCACCACAAGCTTCCATGTCTCATATGATGATGATTGATGTAATATTTCTCTTTTTCATCACCTGAATCTTGAGTGTACATGAAATTTGTAGTTATCTCCATGTCTCCTCCTTTCTTGGCACATACTATATGATTGTGCAACATAGTTTCTAGTTATCAGCTTTTGTCTCTTAACAATTTTGTGGTTTGTTTGGCTTCAATTTGTCTTAATGATGTTAGGTGGTAATGTAAATGGGTTTGTTCATAACATCATGGTGAATAGAAATAAGGTTCAATGGGGTTTGCTTAAAGAGCCGACTTTTAAGGTAAAATAACCAAGCCAATTGTCCCCTTATCAAGACTCTTTTTAATGGCATTTTATTTGAATATATTTATTTATTTATTTTTGTTTCTTTTTAATTTTCAATTATCTTTACTTAAAAACTAAATATTAATTTTTTTTTCTTGTTTGTTTGCAATTTATTTGTAATCTATCCTCTAAATAGTTTAGGAAATAAATTCTAATAAAAAAAATATTTATCTTTTATTATTTGTGGGAAGGTTTAATCTATAACTTTTGCTTAACACTTAAATTTTGATGAATGGATACTGATTTTGGTCAAATTTTTAATTTCATTGAGTTTTCGAGGGTTTATTTTATTTTAAAATGTCCAATTTTCTATTCAATGTAATCATAAATAATATTTGTTATGTAATTATTAGAATTTCGAATACTTAATAATAATGTTACAAATTTGAGGTTGGGCTTAGTGATTTAGTGTCAGCCCATTGGATCTTGAGGCTTGTTTGGGCTATTTTACTGGGCCTATTGGGGGTGAATTTCCCTCAACCGGCACATTTAACTATTTATTATTTATAAATAAATAAATAGATATTTGTATGTTACAATATGTTTTGGATTTATTTAATTAGGGACATTTAAACCTCCATTTTTTTAAATATCAATGGTCAAAAAAGCTTTAAAGTATCATTAATTTATAGATTTTGAATTGCAATTATTAATTACTAAAATTAATAACTTACCCTTTCATAACAAAATTAATCCCATTAATTATTTTTGGATTCTCTCATCACCATTTCAAAATAGATTTATTGTAGCTTCACCAATTTTAATACAATAAATGAAAAAGTGATGCTATTGGTTTCCATATTTTATCTCTTTGGACCCTAATTATTATTAAATTTTTAATTATAATTTTATTGCTTATTAAAATTATTAAATAAGAAATAAAAGAGTTATATGTATTTAAAAATTTTACTTCCCCTCTTTCAATCATAAAACCTAATTCTATTTTCAAACACTAAAGACGAGATTTATGCAATTGAAATATTTCTTTCATGGAACCATAATGGAGATAGAATTTATGTTTTGCAATTGTAATTTGTTTTGTTATTTTTTTCTTTACATTTTTCTTCTTCAGCATTTGTCCAAAATTTATAAGTTAGTTTGATGCATTCAAATTTTTTAATTGTTATTCTTACAATTTTGGAAATTAAAACCCAGAGTAAATGACATTATTTACCCATCCAAGGTTTGACAAATCTACAAATTTCCACCTGTGGTTTCATAAATTGCAAATCTCCACCCAATTTTAAACTCTGTCAAGGTAAATTTGCTTTGATTAGGTCTCACTAGTCAAATACTCTTTTTATCCCTTATTATAATAATGAGTAAATTAATAAATTACTTTCTAACCCTCAAATTAATAGAATTAAAAAAAACCATCACTCTTTCAAATTTATTTCAATAACACTCTCTTCTTTAACCTTCCTTTTCTCCGCGGTAGCCAGATTTGGTCGCTGAGATCTTCTTCGCCTCTCTCTCCACCTCTTTCTCTAGTCTATTTTCTCTCTCTCTTTCACCTTTCCTCTTCTCCGCAGCGGCCAGACCTCGGCAACTAGATCTGACCTTCGCCGCCTCTGTCTCTCTTCTCTTTTCTCTTTCTCTTTTTCCTTTCATCTTCTTCGTGGGGGCAAAATTTGGCCACCGGTGGTGTTGGTGGTGGTGGAGTTGGAGGCGGAGAGGAAGGGTTGGGTTGTAAGAAAATTTTAAGATGTGGAGGGTTATTTTGAAATTTTACTAATTTGGGGGAGTGAGAGAGATTAGGGTTCAATATTTTTTGGATAAAAAACCTAAATACCCTTTTAACTATTAAATTTAATACTTAAAATTTAAAATTGGGTGAGAATTTACAATTTATGAAACCATGGGTGAGAAACGTAGATTCGTCAAACCTTGGGTGGGTAAATGTCTTTAACTCTAAAAACACATGTAAATAAATTTCATTTCTAAACAGTATATTCAACTATATATATATTAAAAATATAAATAAAATGGTATTTTTGAAAGTAAATGAGGTTTATAAAGACATTTGAATATGATAAACATTTTAATGCAGTAAACTAAGTAGGGTCTTAAAAGTAAAATGTAAAGGACCAATAGCATCACTCCAAATGAAATTATATCGGATATCATATTAAGTTCCGGAACTAAGTTTGGTTAAAAGTTTGGAAAGTATCTTTTGATTTAATTTTAATGGTGTTCATATAAATTATATCCCTTGAAATATTATTTCTTAAGAAAATTATATTTCATATCCACAAGTTCTATAATCTATATGCGAAACAAATAAAAATTGTACCTTTCTTTAATGAATAAAAAATGCTTGTACTATATGAAGGATGATGCCTATAAATCTTAATTAAAGAAATAAACAAAGAAAAAGTCCACGGATATTCATAGTATCAAATCAGAGAGTTGGTTATATTAGCAGTACCGTAGTTTTATCAAATTTAGGGTGACAAAAGAAATGAGATTTGACTTGATTTGAAGGCAGAGAAAAGAGAAGATCCTCTATGATTTCTTCAACAAACAATTTGACATGACACATCAGAGACTTGTAAGGTGGAACGGATTTAACATTAGGCCATATTAGTCCAACTATGTATTTCTTAATAATATAAAATTACTAATAACCCCCTAATAAATTTCTCCAGCCCCTCTCTATTAAATAAATCAATAATGCTACGGACACCGGTATTCTACACCAAAATCTTACACCGACTTATGTATCCCGTGACTCACACTAGCCACGTTTCACGTTTACAATTTTTTTTCTAGTGAACGGCCGTTCATCAACTACGGACGGCCGTTCACTTACGATGGACTCACGTCCATATTATATGGACGGGAGTCCACATTTAAAGGACATCCGTTTATCAGTAAATGGAATAAACAATATAAACAAAAATAATGGACGGTCGTTCATAAGTTATGGACGGTCGTCCCTAAATAAAGGATGGACGTCCACATATAATGGACGCTCGTCCAATCTTCAAATAATAAAATTTTTATAAACAAAATTAATGGACGGGCGTTCATATGTTAATGGACGCCCGTCCATTATTAATGGTTTTAAAAAATTAAAAAAAAATTAGGGATGCTCGTTCATCAGTTATGGACGGGTGCCCGCAAATAAGGGACGCCCATTCATAATGTAAATAAAAAAAAATTTGAACGCCCATTCCTAACTTGTTGACGGGCATCCCTAACATGAGGACTGGCGTCCACGGACTTTTTGACTAATTAGATTTATTACCTGTTGAAAAACTCATATAATGACCATTGAAACTTCAGGGGATTAAAGTCCATTTTCAAATGGCAAGGTTATAACGGACGCCCGTCCATACTTTAAAAAATAAAATAAAGGGACAGTCGTTCACCATTATGGACGGCCGTCCCTTAATCAAAATTGAAATTTTATCGCATACTCGTGACCCAAATATGCATTCACCTTCACCGTGCATAGCAAACACTGATCATAGCAACGGCAACAACCGAAGCAGTCGCAGCCACAATCGGCCATTGCAAGTTTGACTTCTTCCATCCATCATCAACAGAGGGTTTAAAATCCCTCACATTCCCATTAAAACCATCCAATGTCTTCTCCTTGAGTCCACTAATCACCGTCTTCACCTCATCAATCTCTTTCTCCAACTCAGAAATCTTGGCCTCCATTTCCTTGGATTTGCTTTCTAATTTCTTCAAACTTCCCTCCACTGACTTCTTCTCAACCTACCACTTATCCAATTCAGACTCCAAAACATTAACTTTCTTCTTAAACCCACTAATTTCCCTCTCTTTGTCATCAATTTTTTCCCTCATTTCTTCTTCAACTCTCACCCTTTTACTATTCTCTTCCAATTCCGTCACTTCCAAAGTCCCAACTTTTCTTTCCAACTCCCTCACTTTCTTCTCACTGTCAGCTTTCTCACTCTTCAACCCATCAATTTCTTTCTCTAATCCCTCCAATTTCACTCCCTTCTCTCCCAGACTCTTCTTCAACTCTGCCACCTCACACTCGCCTCATCCCCTTCGCTAATCGCAGTGATCAGGTCATGTTGGAGTCTCGAAACCTCAGTTTCCAATTCAACCGCTCGAGCAGCAATTGATTCGAAAACTTTCTTATCCTCTTCAGATCCTTCAATTTCAATAGTTAGTTTTTTTAATTCTCTCCTTCGTTTCTTGGTTCTCTTCCTCCAGCGTTTCTGTCTTTCTCGTCAATTAAATTGTCTTTAATTTTTTAAAACCATTAATAATGGATAGGCGTCCGTTAACATATGAATGTCTAACATATGAATGCCCGTCTATTAATTTTGTTTATAAAAATTTTATTATTTGAAGATTGGACGGGTGTCCATTATATGTGGACACTCGTCCTTTATTTAGGGACGACCGTCCATAACCTATGAATGGCCGTCCATTATTTTTGTTTATTCTATTTACTGATGAACGGGCGTCCTTTAAATGTGGATTTCTGTCCATATAATATGGACGGGAGTCCATCATAAGTGAACAGCCATCCATAGTTGATAAACGGCCGTTCACTAGAAAAAAATTTGTGAACATGAAACGTGGCTGGTGTGAGTCACGGGACACGTAATTCGGTGTAAGATTTCAATGTAGAGTCCCGGTGTTCGTATCATTAATATTAAAAATAAATTTTCAAAAAATAACTCCTAATCATATCAACCAAACCCAGGCCTAAAGCCAGGGTAGGCCCAGGTTTGTAAAACTTAGGCCTGCTATTTTAAAATGCACCCCGAGGTCGGAGTTTCTACATCCCTAACTAAAAAAATTTTATTCAACAACCCATTTTACATCTCAATAATAAGACACTCTTCCAAGAAAATGTATAAGTAAAGTAGTGATATTTTGAGTTCAAGTCCCCCCAAACACTAATAGGGATGGTCATTAGGGTTTTTATCCGATCGATAGTTTAAGAACTTTAAGAGACTAGTTGAAATGCATGCAAATTGGTCTAGATACCCCAATG